TTTAAAAATTAATAAAATTTACATGTTTAAATAAAAAATAACAAAACTTATAGTTCTATACGGTCCTTTTCTCCCTCTTTTTGTGTAGTGTCTCATTTTTAAATAAAAATTTTTAAATTATTTTTTTAAATAAAAATAAAAAATTTTAATTTAATTTAAAAATTAATAAAATTTACATGTTTAAATAAAAAATAACAAAACTTATAGTTCTATACGGTCCTTTTCTCCCTCTTTTTGTGTAGTGTCTCAACTATCAAGAATATTTTTTAAAATATTTTTTTAACAATAAAAGATTCATACTTTAGTTGAGAGTTGAACTCAACTAAAGAACTCGTGCTTACTAAATGGGTGCTCTAATCAACTGGGGAAAGCAATTTGTTGGCAACATTTAGTTTGTTTTACTTGTAATTTTCACATTTCCAACTGGTTTGTACACCCTCACTGTCACAGATTTAACTTTTCTTCTCGCTCTTATCTCATAAGTCAAAACCCCCAACCATCCATCCACCAAAAGCAGCCTTCTTTACCCTCTCTACTAAAGAAAATCCTAAGGGTAAATGTTAATTTTGGTTCTTTAATTTTATTTAATTGTATTTTTTTTATCTTTTTATTATTTTTTGTATTTTTTTATTTTTCGACTCTAAAAAATGTATAATTTTGATTCTTTTATCAGTTAAACATAACATGATCATTAAATAATTTCTTTTATCAGTTAAACATAACATGATCATTAAATAATTTCACATGGCATTTCTTTTAAATTTTTTAATGATGTGATAATAATATATCTTATAATTATATTATATAAACAAATAAAAATATCACACCATATGAATATTTATATTTTAACAAAAAAATAAAAATAAACAAAATGACTTCATCACCCTCACCCTCTCGATCCATCTTCTTCCCTTCTTTTTTTCTCTTTCTTTCTTTCCAACCTCTAGGTTTGGTCACCAAACCCAGATCCAACTGGATTGTTTGATTGAGTTGAGGTTGATGATCCCCTTCGTTTGGTTTCATTGCCTAGCCCTCTTCATGGTGTGCCTAACTCTTTAGAACCCAGATCGGTTGTTTGTCAGGTTTCATTCTTCTTTTGATTTCTATTCCTAGTTTTTGACAAATTTGGGACTTGATTTATAATTTTATTGTATTTTTGTTAGAATTTAATCAGAATTTGATTGACATTGTTTATTGAGGGGTTAATTTAATTTGATGAGATATGCTGGATTCATCAAACCCAACAAGTGGCTTCAATGAAACCCAGCAGCTGAGTTCGACAACATAGAACCCAAATTCTATTTTGTTCAATCTCAGTTGGAGCAAAGTGAGGAAGAAGATGGATTGAGAGGGAGATAAGATAACAACATAATTTTATTTTTTTTTTCTTTTTTATTTCAAACCACAATCCCAGACATGTTGCAATGGAGGCAACTCAACTCCAGCAAATCTCATCTTGAATTCCCTCCATTTAGATCTCATAAGGTTTCGTTGACAAAAGAGAAGAACAAGATATGGATCATGATTAATGTTGCAAATGGATTGGAGATGAGAGAGCATTCTAGGGTTTTGTTGGAAGGTTTGAGGAGATAGAATATGACATGGCATAGAGTTTTGTCTATTTCAGTAACTTTTTCTTTTATGTTGCATCATTCATGTCATCAGAAAAAACATAAAAAATGGCACATAGACGGAGTTAATTCCCAAATTGATGGAAGAAAGACCAAAATTATGCATTTTTTTTAAGTTGAAGGTTATAAAAATGCGAAAAATAATAGAGAGATCAAAAAAAGTAAAAATCAATAAAGTTGAGAGACCGAAATTACTATTTAACCAAACCTTAAATGACTCTCTCTTCAAATCCCAATCCACAGAAGTAGCATTAACCCCAGAAGAATGAACAAAAATCAACCTCCTAATCCCACGTCTTTGCCTTTTAAACCACCTAAACACTGCAATCCAACTAACCACTACAGCACTCAATGGCAAACACATTTTCCAAGTATATGGAGTTTTGGTGGGTGGGCTTTGTGGGGCTGGGTTGGTCCTGGAGGGCTTGAGGGTTTTGAGGGACATGGTGAAGGTGAATTTGAGGCCAGGAGAAGGGTTGAGAGAAGCAAGGAGCAGGGAGGCAATGGAATTGAAAGATGCTTTGAGCCATGTTGGCGATGGTGGCGATAGTGGGAATTATGTGACTCCTTGTAGTTTCATAGCTAGCTGTGGACTGGGATTTGTAATTTTTCAAAAGTACTCCTGCTATTTTTCCTCTGTTTCCTTTTCTCAAAGGTTATTTCCTCCTTTAACTTCCTTTCTTCTTACCCCTCCCTTTCCCCTTCTTTTGGTTACATTACTGTGCCAATCATCTTTCTGCAACACCAGGAGAATGACAAGCATTTGACAACAGTATGTGAAGAAGTCAAATTGGTTTATGAATTTAATTAGTTGTCCAGTCTTACTCTCATGAAGTCATTTTTAGCCATCCTCGTTTTGTAAGGTAACGCTATATAGGGGTACTTCTCTATATAAATAAGTTAATTTTAGTTGCATTTGCATACCATGAATTACTTGTTATTAACAAAGAGATGCTGGTATTTCAGGACACATT